ACTTGCACTGTCTCAAAAATGAATAACATTTAAAAAAAAGACATGGAGTACCAGAATGGATAAAGAAAACAAGACCCATCTATATGCTGCCTACAAGAGAATCATTTAGACCTAAAGCCACTTCCAGATTAAAATTGAAGGGATGGAGAACCATATATCATGCTAATGGACATCAAAAGAAAGCCAGAGTAGCCATACTTGTATCAGACAAACTAGATTTTTTTTTTTTAATTTTTAACATGTGTCTATTTTTGAGAGACAGAAACAGAGCACAAGCAGGGGACGGGTAAAGAGAGAGGCAGATACAGAATCCAAAACAGGCTCCAGGCTCTGAGCTGTCAACACAGAGCTCAACGCAGGGCTCAAACTCACGATCCATGAGTTCATGACCTGAGTTGAAGTCAGACACTTAACTGAGTGAGATACCCAGGTGCCCCTGGACAAACTAGATTTTAATTTTTTTTAAATGTTTATTCATTTTTGAAAGACAGAGACAGAGCACAAGCAGGGGTGGGGACACAGAATCTGAAACAGGCTCCAGGCTCTGAGCTGTCAGCACAGATCCCGACGCAGGGCTCAAACTCACAAACAGTGAGATCATGACCTGAGCCAAAGTCGGAAGCTCAACGGACTGAGCCACCCAGGCGCCCCTGGACAAACTAGATTTTAAACCAAAGACTGTAACAAGAGATGAAGAAGGGTAATACATCGTAATTAAGGGGGTCTACCCATCAAGATCTAACAATTGTAAATATTTATGCCCCCATATTGAAACACCCAAATACATAAATCAATTAATCAAAAACATAAACTCACTGATAATAATACAATAACAGTGGGGGCTTTAAACCCACACTTACAACAATGGACAGATGGTCTAAGCATAAAATCAACAAGGAAACAGTGGCTTTGAAGGACACACTGAGCCAGATGGACTTAACAGATATATTCAGAACATTTCATCCTAAAGCAACAGAATATATATTCTTTTCAAGTGCACACAGAACATTCACCACAATAAGTCACATACTGGGTCACAAACCAGGCCTCAACAAGTACAAAAGGATTGAGATCATACCATGCAAATTTTCTGACCACCACACAATGAAACTTGAAGTCACATCCTATTAAAGAATGAATAGGTCTACCAGGAAATTAAAGAAGACATAAAAAACATATATATGGGGCAAATGAAAATGAAAACACGACAGTCCAAAACCTTTTGGATACAGCAAAGGCAATTCCAAGACGTAAGTATATACTAATAAATACCTACCCAAGAAACAAGAAAAGTCTCAAATACACAACCTAACCTTACACAAAGGATCTAGAAAAAGAACAGCAACTAAAGCCTAAAAACAGCAGAAGAAGGAAAATAATAAAGATTAGAGCAGAAATAAACAATACAGAAACAAAAACCCAGTAGAACAGATCAACAAAATTAAGAGCTGGTTCTTTGAAAGAATTAATTAAATTCACAAACCTGTAGCCAGACTTATCAAAAAGAAGAGAGAGAGGACCCAAACAAATAAAATCATGAATGAAAGAGGGGAGATCACAACCAACACCACGGAAATACAAACAACTGTAAGAGAATATTATGAAAATTATATGCCAACAAACTGGGCAATCTGAAAGAAATGGACAAATTGCTAGAAACATACAAATTACCAAAACTGAAATTGGAAAGAAATAGGAAATTTGAACAGTCCCATAACCAGCAAAGAAATTGAATTAATAATCAAAATCTCCCCACAAAATAAGCCCAGGGCCAGATGGCTTCCCAGAGGAATTCTATCAGAAATTTAAAGAAGAGTTAATACTTATTCTTCTCAAATTATTCCAAAAAAAAAAAAAAAATTGGAAGGAAAACTTCCAAACTCATTCTACAAGGCCAGAATTATCTTGATTCCAAAACCAAAGACCCCACTGAAAAGGAGAATTACAGGCCAATATCCCTGATGAACATGGATGCAAAAATTCTCAACAAGATACTAACAAATCAAATTCAACAGTACATCAAAAGAATTATTCACCACCATCAACTGGAATTTATTCCTGGGATGCAGGGGTTGTTCAATATTTGCAAATCAATCAATGTGGTACACCACATTAATAAAAGAAAGGATAAAACCATTTGATCCTCTCAATTGATGCAGAAAAGGCATCTGACAATATAAAGTATCCTTTCTTGATAAAAACCCTCAATAAAGTAAGGATAGAAGGAACATACCTCAACATAATAAAGCCCATACATGAAAGACCCACAGCTAATATCATCCTCAATGGGGAAAAACTAAAAGCTTTCCCCCTAAGGTCAGGAACATGACAGAGATGTCTACTTTCACCACTGTTGTTCAGCATAGTACTGGAAGTCCTCACCTCGGCAATCAGACAACAAAATGAAATAAAAGGGATCCAATCTTCAAGGAAGAAGTGAAATTTTAAACTCTTCACAGACAACATGCTACTGTATGTAAAAAAACCTGAAAGATTCCACCAAAAAAAATCGCTACAATGAATACATGAACTCAGCAATGTTGCAGGATATAAAATCAATGTCAGAAATCAATTGCACTTCTATAGACCAATAATAAAGCAGTAGAAAGAGAAATCAAGGACTCGATCCCATTTACAATTGTACCAAAAACCATAAGATACCTAGGAATAAACCTAACCAAAGAGGTAAAAGACCCGTACTCTAAAAACTATAGACACTTATGAAAGAAATTGAAGAGAACACAAATAATGGAAAAACATTTCATATTTATGGATTGGAAGAATATTGTTAAAATGTCTATACTACCCAGAGCAATCTACACTTTTAATGCAATCCCTATACCACCAGCACTTTTGACAGAGCCAGAATAAACAATCCTAAAATTTGTATGGAACCACAAAAGACTCCAAATAGCCAAGGCAATTCTGAAAAAAGAAAAGCAAAGCTGGAGGCATCCTGATTCTGGACTTCAAGCTATGTTACAAAGTTGTAGTCATCAAGACAGTATGGTACTGACACAAACACAGACACATAGACCAATGAAACAGAATAGAAATCCCAGAAATGGACCCACAACTATATGGTCAACAAATCGTTGACAAAGCAGGAAAGAATATCCAATAGAAAAAATACAATCTCTTCAACAAATAGTTTTGGGAAAACTAGATAGTGACATGTAGAATAATGAAACTGGACCACTTTCTTACACCATACACAAAAACAAATTCTAAATGGATAAAATACCTAGATGGGAGCCAGGAAACCATCAAAATCCTAGAGAACACAGGCAGCAACATCTTTGACCTTGGCTGTACCAACTTCTTACTAGACATATCCCCAGAGCCAAGGGAAATAAAAGCAAAAATAAACTATTGGGACTTCTTGGCACAGAGGAGGAAACAATCAACAAAACTAGAAGGCAGTCTATGGAGTGGGAGAAGTTATTTACAAATGACATATCTGATAATGGGCCAGTATCCAAAATATATAAATAACTTTTCAAATTCAACACTCAAATAATAATAATAATAATCCAGCTAATAAATGGGCAGAAGCCATGAATAGACATTTGTCAAAAGAAGGCATCCAGATGGCTAATGAACACATGAAAAGATGTTCAACATCACTCATCATCAGGGAAATAGAAATGAAAACCATGATGAGAAACCACCTCACACCTGTCAGAATGGCTAAAATTAACAACAGAGGAAACAATAGATGTTGGTGAGGATGTGGAGAAAGAGAAACCAACCCTCTTACACCATTGGTGGGAATGTAAACTGGTGCAGCCACACTGGAAAACAGGATGGAGGCGCCTCAAAAAATTAAAAATAGAACTACCCAATAACCCAGCAATTGCATTACTAGTTACTTACCCAAAAGATACAAAAATACAGATTTGAAGGGTCACATGCACAGCAATGTCTATAGCAGCACTATCAACAATTGCCAAACTATGGAAAGAGCCCAATGTCCATCAACAATGAACGGATAAAGAAGTGGTATATACATACAATGGAATATTACTAAGCCATCTAAAAGAATGAAATCTAGCCATTTGCAACTATGTGGATGGAACTAGACTGTATTATGCTAAGTGAAATAGAGAAAGACAAATACTGTATGATTTCACTCATATGTGGAATTTAAGAAACAAAACAGATGAACATAGGGGAAGGGAAAAAAGAGAGAGGGAAACACTCTATAAAAGACTCTTAACAATAGAGAGCAAACTGAGGGTTGATTGAGGGAGATGGGTGGGTGATGGGCTAAATGGGTGATGGTATTAAGGAGGGCATTTGTTGTGATGAGCACTGGATGTTATATGTAAGTGATGAATCACTAAATTCTGCACCTGGAACCAATTTTACCTTATATGTTAACTAACTAGAATTTAAATAAAAACTTGAAAAGCAAAAAAGAAAAAGAAGAAAGTTCAAATATTAAATTTTAACTATCACATGTTTATCTTTACAACTAAGTTTCTAAATAAAAACTAGCCTAATCATACACGAATTTAATAGCAAACAAAATAACATATCTAGTTTCACTATTTTGTTATGTTTACCTTTTTTAATTAAAAAAAAAAAGTCTAGGGGTGCCTGGGTGGCGCAGTCGGTTAAGCGTCCAACTTCAGCCAGGTCACGATCTCACGGTCGGTGAGTTCGAGCCCCGCGTCAGGCTCTGGGCTGATGGCTCAGAGCCTGGAGCCTGTTTCCGATTCTGTGTCTCCCTCTCTCTCTGCCCCTCCCCCGTTCATGCTCTGTCTCTCTCTGTCCCAAAAATAAATAAATGTTGAAAAAAAAATTTAAAAAAAAAAGTCTATTGTGATAAATACATATGCTGTAAAATGTACCATCTTAAACCAATTACATTCAGAGCCATTAAGTACATTTATATTGTTGTGCCACCCTCACCACCACCCATCCAAAGAGCTCTTTACATCTTGCAAAACTGAAATTCTGTTTCATTATGTTTTTTTTTATAATTATGTTCACAGGTGCCTGCAAAACAATAATATTAGATCCATATCCATCTATGCTTTCAGAGGACTATACAGTCTTACTAAACTGTAAGTACCAGTGCCAATTAGTTTGCCCATTCCACTGTGGTCTGTCAGGCTGACCCACCGCCCTCCATGGTAGCTCTCCTGCCCACAACAGTTGAAGGGGCACGCAGGGCACTATGGTCGAGGGCATGGAATTCTGACTTGAACAGGCTTCCACTTAAGTCCTGATTCACCACTCCCTTGGTCTATAAACTTGAGCAATTTATTTTCCTTTCTAGGCATTGATTCCCTCTAGTGTAAGATACAAATTATAACAGTACCTTCCTCAGGATTGTTGTAAGAAACAAACGAGGAAATCCCTGGGAAGAATTAGGCACACTACATCTGACGCATAAATAGAACTCAATACATACTGGCCATGGTGACAGGAATGATGGCCGTTAGAACTTATTCAAAATAGGGGCGCCTGGGTGGCTCAGTCGGTTAAGCGTCTGACTTCAGCTCAGGTCACAATCTCACGGTCCGTGAGTCAGTGAGTTCGAGCCCCACCTCGGGCTCTGGGCTGATGGCTCAGAGCCTGGAGCCTGCTTCCCATTCTGTGTCTCCCTCTCTCTCTGCCCCTCCCCCGTTCATGCTCTGTCTCTCTCTGTCTCAAAAATAAATAAACGTTAAAAAAAATTAAATAAAATAAAAAAAAGAACTTATTCAAAATAAGAAACACTGATGATAATAGAATCTTGAAGGAAAAAACCCAGACTTTTCCAGTAATTCTTTTTCCACTACTCCTGCTTTTATGAATACATACGGCGCTGTAAGGTTAAAAGAGTAAAGCTTTTTTATTGTGATTAAATACATATAACATAAAATTTATCATTTTAACCATTTTTAAATGTGAAGTTCTGTGGCGTTGAGTATATTCACATTGTTGTGCAAATATCACCACCATCCATCTCCAGAACATTTCATCTTCCCAAGCCGAAACTCTGTACCCACCAAACAGTAACTCCTCCTCCCCTGACCCTTGGCAATCACCATTCTACTTTCTGTATCTCTGAATATGACTACCCTAAGTGGAACCATACAATATTTGTCCTTTTGTGTCAGGCTTATTTCATTTAGCATGATGTCTTCAAGGTTCATCCATTTGTTTTTCCATGCACACCCATCAGTGAACATTTTTGGTTGTTTTCGTCTTTTGGCTATTATGAGTAATGCTGCCGTGAACATTGGTATATAAATATCTGTTTGAGTCTTTGCCTTCAATTCTTTGGGGTATATACCCAGAAGGGGAGTTGATGAGTCACATGGTAATTCCAGGTTTAACTTTTGGAGGAACCACCATACCGTTTTCCACAGCATCTGCACCAACAACATACAAGGGGACTAATCCCTTCACGTCTTCACCAGCACTTCTTGTTTTCTGAGGTTTTGTTGTTTAAGAATTTGTTTTGTCTTTTTAAAACAGCCATCCTAATGGATATGAAGTCATATTTCATTGTAGTTAAAAGCAAAGCTTTTTAAAATTGGTTTTCTTGGGGCGCCTGGATGGCTCAGTCGTTTGTTTGAGTGTCCAACTCTTGATTTCAGCTCAGGTCATGATCCCAGAGTCATGGGCTCAAGCCCCACATCAGGCTTCACACTCAGACTGGAGCCTGCTTGGGATTCTCTCTCTCTCTCTCTGCCCCTCTCCCCTGCTCATGCACTCTCTCTCTCCCTCTCTCTAAAAAATTTAAAAAATTAAGTAAATATATAAGTAAATAAAATAGTCTACTAAATATTCCATTTCAGCATCTGAACCTAACCTCCTATAGGAAATAATTGTATGGAAATATAACCAAAAGGCACATAAATCAACAACTCCCTATATTTCTATTTCCGTCGCCTTGTTTTCTATCCTACACCACTTTTTTTAATCCTAATCCAAGAAACTCATTCCAGTCCGATTCCTAGTTTGTGGTATCAGGGTTTAGGATTGAGAGACAGCTGTCTAATAATTTTACTAGCAAAATGGAAGAAGGGCCCTGGAGACTCAGAGTCTTAACAGTAACCACTTTTACCAAGTCCTCTTCCCTTCTATCCCATCCCTGCTCTTTTGTGTCTTGGCAAATCACCCAAAGTCAATATTGGATTCATTCCCATCAGGCTCCTATCTTTCTCTCCAACCCCGCATAAATCTGTTCAAAACTTATAAGCAGTGTCTGCTTGGTTTAATGTTCAATGGGTGTGAAAGATACTACAGTCTTGGTTTAGTATCCAAGGGATGTGAAGGATAGTACCACAAATTTTAAAGAGTTCCCCATCTCTTTCCATGGTTATTCATAGCACTGGACTATTGTTTAGATGTTAAAGATGTCACATACTTCTGGGTTTTCATAGATAATCATTAGATTCCTCCTTTTCATTCACCTGTAAATATTCATTAGTCCTTACAATGTGCAAATTTTTCAGCAAGACACCATGGGGAGGTGGCACAAAAAGATAAGTCAGACATGCTGCCTTCCAACAGTTTACACTTTAATATTTCAGGTAAAGGGCTTTGATACCACTGGGGCAAGGCATGCCTCTTGCTCTCCAGAGGCTTATGATCTAGGGTGGGAAAATATGCCAATATACACACAACAATTAGAGAACGATTAAATCCGAAACCCGTGTTGTTCAGACCAAAATTCTTGTTAAGTTTCACTGAAACAAGTGACTGTTTGGGGTCTGGAGCAATGAAGGATGGCTGGGGAAAATGAAGAAGACTGGGAAAAACAGATGAGTATAGAGTACAGGGGTGGATCAAATGCTTTTACCTGAGGGATTGCTACTGGCTTTTAACGGAGCCCCCTGAGGCGGTCATAGGGAAGTATTGTAGCTATTCTTTACCCTTCCTGTGCCCAAATGGGGTTCTAGACCTACAAGGCAAGGAGAGAAGTGGCTCTAACATGGAGCATCATCTCCTGTTACCCCTAAGCAAAAGTCAAATATGGTGGGAACGGGGAGCCTCCCAGCAGGAGAAATTTTATAAGCTGTCAAATTATAAGAGTAGAGAAAAGTGCAACATCAGTGTGGTCCATATATCTGTGGAAGTGAAATTTGAAGTAAAACTTGCATATGAATCATAGGCAGAAGGGAAAAAGAAGACGGATATAAGAATGGGAGGCATGAATAGAGGCGTCATAAATAATATGTACTGAATGCTTATGACGTGTTACAACCCAATAAAGTAGGTACTAAGATTACCTCCATTTTAGAGTTGGGGAAACTGAGGCTTTCAGGAGTTAACTGCTTAAGGTCACACTATTAATAAGTAGCAAAGCTAGGAATTGAACTATCTGATGTCAGAGTCAGAGCAGCAAACTGCTGTATGGACATGGAGGTAGAAATAAACATGGCAAGGGGTACCTGGGTGGCTGAGTCGGTCAAGCCTCCGACTTTAGCTCAGGTCATGATTTCCTGGTTCAGGATTTCAAGCCCTGCATCAGGCTCTGTGCTACCAGCTCAGAGCCTGGCACCTGCTTCGGATTCTGTGTCTCCCTCTCTGCCCCTCCCCCACTAGTTCTCTCTCTCTGTCTCTCTCTGTCTCTGTCTCTCTCTCACTTTTCTCTCTCTCAAAAATAAATAAAAACATTAAAAACAAAGAAAGAAACATGAACAGAACAGAGTTGACTCAATCTGCAGAAGAGTAAGAACTGAAAAGGTGGATGTCAAACTCCTTAACAAGCATACAATGTCGCCATGTCCTTTTTTCCAGAACAGTCCCTGCCTGCCTCCCAGGTTCATCCCCTGTCCCTCTTCACAATGCCTTCATGGTGAGGCCTTACTGAAATACCTGGTGATCCCTTACCTTGTTGTTCTCTCTCATCTCTCTTGCCTCTGCATAAGCGATCTCTTCTGCTTACGTTAACTCCTACCCATTCTTTGCTTTGTGAATGGTATCTTCATCCGAATCTCTATCCATCCAGTTGTGCATTCTCTAGTAAAGCCTTCTGTCTCCTGACTCTCCCAAGCATTGCAGTCCCTGCCCCCAACAAAGGCAGATGCCTTCTCCTCTGCAATTCAGAGCAACCCTACATTATACGCTTCTCTTTTCCCCATGTTGCGGTAATAACCTGTTCATACTCTGTCTTCCCTCTAGACTCAAAGCCCCTCAAAGAAAGAGATGATATGCCTAGCACACTGCCGTAGAGTATAGGTACCCAAAAAAGTTTAATGAATAAAGGCATAAATGAATGGAATGACTGATTGATTGATTGATTGATTGTGGGGGAATTAAAACCTAGACATGAAAAGGTAAGTGATAAAGAACTTTTAGAGACCCAAAAGAAGGGAAAAGATCTTATAAGAATAGTATACAAGAAAACCTAAGATGGATGATTATTGTTTTTCCTCTCCTTATTGTTAGATATCAAGAAGGTAACACATTTGGGGTGCCAGGCTGCCTCAGTCAGTAGAGCATACAACCCTCTGTCTCAAGGTTGTGAGTGTGAACCCCATATTGGGTGTAGAGATTACTTAAAAATGAAATCTTAAAAAAAGAAAAAGAAGGAGATAACACTTTTACTGTAGTCATTTCTCTTTTTTCAGGTATCTCAGTCGTAACAGAATAACTTTCTTGAAGCCGGGTGTTTTTGAAGATCTCCACAGACTAGAATGGCTGTATGTTTAATTTATGTGTCATTTTATAGTATTAGTTTTTATATTCTAAATATATAAATGAATCCGTTTTTTCTTCTGGCTGGCAGGATAATTGAAGATAATCACCTCAGTCGAATTTCCCCACTAACATTTTATGGACTAAATTCTCTTATTCTCTTGTAAGTACTAAAAATTAAGACAACTATTTCAATGGAAAGAAAAGACGTGAATAAAAGTTACTGCCTTAAGTTTAACAGCATTAAATTTGGAATTGTTCAAGCCCCAGAAAGGCCTTTCTGACTAAAAATCATCTCTTAGTCATATCCTATGAGGCTATATTGTAGTTTTAACAATTATATAAGACCTTCTGTCCTCTAGAACATCAGCCCCTCAAAACTGAATACAACCTCACTGCTATATTTTATTGAAATATTCTCAAGCATACCACTACTGCCCTGTATTCATCTTAGTAATAATAATAATAATAATAATAATAATAATAATAATATTCATTTAAAATCACCTCCTTCTCACTACCCACTTTTGAAGGGTACAGGCTTTTTTTCAGTTACTAACATTGCTGCTTCCTCCATATGACAACTATCATTTGTTGAATTTTATTACTAACAAGCACTCAAATATAACAAAACTTACAGGAAAAAAAAAGAGAAGATAACTAACTTAATAGATTTTCATGGTTTCATAAAGAATAATGATAATACCATATTTGACTTAAGATGAAAAAAGAACCAGAAAAAGGTGACTTCTCTTTCTTTTCTTTTTCAGAGCACTGATGAATAATGTCCTCACCCATTTGCCGGATAAACCTCTTTGCCAGCACATGCCAAGACTGCATTGGCTGTAAGTTGCTGTACCTTTCCTTAAAGGAGTCAGCTAACTTTTCTGGTTTTGCCTAGTTCCCTTTGGATATTGGGTTTTTAAAAATGATAGGTTGTTAATGTCATATCATATTTCCTCAGATTACTTTAGCATGTTTTTGTTACTGAACAGCCCCATTGACTAAACTAACTCCTCTAGATTCTCTCCAACATAAACCATTTTTAAAAACAAAAAAATTGAGAGGCAGGAAGAAAAAAGACAGAAAGGATGTCACAGTAGCTATAGAACATCTCCTCCTCCTTCCCTCTGTCAATCTATTTTCACCTTTTAATTTGATACAGAAAGACTAAATCACTTTAGCCTCATTCCTAAATTCTGCATAATGAGAACATGATATTTAGAATTTATATTTAACTCTAATCACAACAGAATATGTTCCATAAAGTTTTTTACACAGTAGCTTTGCATATGATAATAAGAATCACTCTACCTATTAAGAACCAGTAAATTTGCCTATTTAAAACACAGTAAAAATGAAGAAATAAGTGACCAAAATAACTGTTTAAAAGTTCAGCAATAAACCGCATATACAGTATTATATGAAAACCTCCTCTGTGTCTCATTTTGTGTGAAATTCTCAGAAGTTTTGTTTGCTGTTTAATTTTTAAGCTCACAGCAGATTAGAAGTGCCAGATTAAAAGTAGAGGGGAAAGATGAAGTTCAAAACATCAGTGAGAAGTGACAACTATCAACCTGATAATAAAGCAGGAATGGGAGTGCTATAAAGAACAGACATAATAATTCAAAACACACTAGTTTGGAACCATTTAGGGGAAGACAAACATCCCCGGAGTCATTACTAAGTCCAGAGGGCGTCTTGGTATGACAGCACAGTACCCGCATTGATGACAGCTAAAGTATTCAAGAAAAGGGCAAATTAAGTTCAATCTCCTTGTTGTAATTAAATTTTGTTTCAAATGAGCACATTAACAGTTATTATGTGCTCAGTAATCCAAACTTAATAATAAAGCAAAATTGGTTAATATTTACATACATAAATTAGCAATTAAAAATTCATGCACTGACACCAGCAGCAAATGTAGGAGATATTATGCAATACACTAATAAACATTTCCTTTGCCTTTAAAAAGGCAGCCAAATATACATCTCAGATAAAAATTTAAATGATTAAGTTATACTACTAAATAGGTGGACTTTTTACAATTTCATCACTAAAGTTACCATCTTTAAACTTTAGCTATCTAAAATAACTCATTTCGTATGCATTCCTGATAACATTATCCCAATTTTAATGCCAGTAATAATAATTTTTGCTTTATAAGTATTCATTTCTTTTAAAACTAATCACAGTGCCATAGCCAGTAAAGACATTGAATCAGTAATCAAAAATCTCCCTCCCAAACAAGTCCAGGGCTGGATGGCTTTCCAGGGGAATTCTACCAAACATTTAAAGAAGAGTTAACACCTATTCTTTTGAAGTTGTTCCAAAAAATAGAAATGGAAGGAAAACTTCCAAACTCATTCTATGAGGCCAGCATTACCTTGGTTCCAAAACCAAAGACCCCACTAAAAAGGAGAACTACAGACCAATTTCCCTGATGAACATGGATGCAAAAATTTTCAACAAGATACTAGCAAACCAGGTCCAACAATACATTAGAAGAATTATTCACCACGATCAAGTGAGATTTATTAATGGGATGCAGGTCTATTTTAATATCCACAAATCAATCAGTGTGATACATCACATTAAAAAAGAAAGGATAAGAACCACATGATCCTCTCAATACATGCTGAGAAAGGATTTGATGAAATACAACATCCTTTCTTTTTTTTTTTTTTTTTTTTTTTTTTTTTTTTTTTTTTTTTTTTAATTTTTTTTTTCAACGTTTTTTTTTTATTTATTTTTGGGACAGAGAGAGACAGAGCATGAACGGGGGAGGGGCAGAGAGAGAGGGAGACACAGAATCGGAAACAGGCTCCAGGCTCCGAGCCATCAGCCCAGAGCCTGACGCGGGGCTCGAACTCACGGACTGCGAGATCGTGACCTGGCTGAAGTCGGACGCTTAACCGACTGCGCCACCCAGGCGCCCCAACATCCTTTCTTGATAACAACCCTCAAGAGAGTAAGGATAGAAGGATCATACCTCAACATTATAAAGGCCATACACAAAAGACCCACACCTAATATCATCCTCAATGGGGAAAAACTGAGAGCTTTCCTCCTAAGGTCAGGAACACAACAAGGATGTCCACTCTCACCACTGTTATTCAACACAGTGTTGGAAGTCCTAGCCTCAGCAATCAGACAACACAAAGAAATAAAAGGCATCCGGATTGGAAAGGAGGAAGTCAAACTTTTCACTCTTTGCAGATGACATGATACTCTATGTGGAAAACCCAAATGACTCCACAAAAAAAACTGCTAGAACTGATCCAAGAATTCAGCAAAGTCACAGGATATAAAATCAATGTACAGAAACCAGTTGCATTTCTGTACAGCAATAATGAAGCAGCAGAAAGAGAAATCAAGGAATTGATCCCATTTACAATGTGCCAAAAACCATAAAATACATAGGAAGAAATTTAACCAAAGAGGTGAAAAATCTATACACTGAAAACTATAGAAAGCCTGTGAAAGAAATTGAAGAAGACACGCAAAAAATGGAAAAACATTCCATGTTCATGGGTTGGAAGAACAAATATTGTTAAAATGACTATACTTCTCAAAGCAATCTACACACTCAATGCAATCCTTATCAAAATACCACCAGCATTTTTCACAGAGCTAGAACAAACAATCCTAAAATTTATATGGAAACAGAAAAGACCCCGAATAGCCAAAGAAATCCTGAAAAAGAAAAGCACAGCTGGAGGTGTCACAATCCTGGACTTCAATTTGTATTACAAAACTGTAATCATTAAGACAGTGTAGTACTGGTGCAAAAACAGACATGAAGATCAATGGAGCAGAATAGAGAACCCAGAAATGGACCCACAAATGCAGGGATAACTAATCTTTTTTTTTTAACATTTTTATTTATTTTGAGACAGAGAGAGACAGAGCATGAGCAGGAGAGAGGCAGAGAGAGAGGGAGACACAGAATCCGAAGCAGACTCCAGGCTCCGTCAGAGCTGTCAGCACAGAGCCCGACACGGGGCTCAAACTCACAGACTGTGAGATCATGACCTGAGCCGAAGTCAGACGCTCAACCAACTGAGCCACCCAGACGCCCCATATGGGTAGCTAATCTTTAACAAAGCAGGAAAGAATATCCAATGGAGTAAGGACAGTCTCTTCAGCAAATGGTGTTGGGAAAACTGCACAGTGGCATGTAGAAGAATGAACGTGGACCACTTTCTTACACCATGTACAACAATAAACTCAAAATGGATGAAAGACCTAAATGTAAGAAAGGAAGCCATCAAAATCCTAGAGGAGAAAACAGGCAACTACCTCTTTGACCTCAGCCGCAGCAACTTCTTACTTGACATGTTTCCAGAGGCAAGGGAAACAAAAGCAAAAATGAACTGTTGGGAACTCATCAAGATAAAAATCTTCTGTACAGTGAAGGAAACAATCAGCAAACCAAAAGGCAATTGACAGAATGGGAGAAGATATTTGCAAGTGACATATCAGATAAAGGGTTAGTATCCAAAATCTATAAAGAACTTATCAAACTCAACTCCCAAAAAACAAATAATCCAGTGAAGAAATGGGCAAAAGACATGAATAGACACTTCTCCAAAGAAGACATCCAGATGGCCAAGCGACACATGAAAAAATGCTCAACATCACTCATCATCAGAGAAATACAAATCAAAACCACAATGAGATACCACCTCACACCAATCAGAATGGCTAAAATTAACAACTCAGGCAATAACAGATGTTGGCCAGGATGTGGAAGAAAAGGAACTCTTTTGCACTGCCGGTGGGAATACAAACTAGTGCAGCCCCTCTGGAAAACAGTATGGAGGTTCCTCAAAAAATTAAAAATAGAAGTACCCTACGACCCAGCAATTGCACTACTAGGCATTTATCCAAGGGATACAGGTGTGCTGATTCGAAGGGGCACATGTGCCCCAATGTTTATAGCAGTGCTATGGACAATAGTCAAAGTATATATAGAAAGAGCCCAAATGTCCATTAACTGATGAATGGATAAAGAAGTGGTATGTGTAAATATAATGGAATATTACTTGGCGATCAAAAAGAATGAAATCTTGACATTTGCAACAACATGGATGGAACTAAAGTGTATCATGCTAAGCGAAATAAGTCAGTCAGAGAAAGACAAGTATCATTATGATTTCACTCATATGTGGAATTTAAGATACAAAATAGGTGAACATAAGGGAAGGGAAGCAAAAATAAGATAAAAACAGAGAGGGAGACAAACCACAAGAGACTCTTAAAATACAGAGAACAAACTGAGGGTTGCTGGTGGGGTGTTGGGTAGGGGGAAGGGCTAAAGAGATGAGAGGCATTAAGGAGGAGGACACTTTCTGAGATGAGCACTGGGTGTTACATGTAAGTGATGAATTACTAAATTCTATTCCCAAAATTATTATTACACTATATGTTAACTAACTTGGATTTAAATAAATAAATAAATAAATAAATAAATAAATAAATAAAGTGCCTCTACCTTGCACATGAACTTTTATTTAGCAAAGTATAAACTCAAATATCTGATAGATGTGTTGGTAAAAATATATATATATTCTTTAACTGATTTAGTGGAAAAATACACATAAAAGACATATGACAGCCCAGGATAATTTGCTTGCAAGATACATGACAGGCAATAGATTAAGGCCTTTATTATAGTTCTTTCAAAGCAAAAAATAAAAACTGTAAACACCACAACAGAAGTTGGGAAATTCAATAAGTTAGAAATATAAGTAATAAATAAGCACATGAGGCAATAGCCAAAGGTAAACTAAAGAGCAAGAGGGTAAATTAAACTTACTCCTATATGAGACAACGCAAGTTT